GCAGCGGCGACAGAAGTAACGCCCACAAGTGAGCGAGGAGACGGCGGGAGGCAGGGAGCAGGCAAAGCAAGAGCGAGGAGACGACAGCGGCAGCAACAGCGGCACGGAAATGGTGGTGGGTGGGCGCGGAGGAGACGGTGCTGGCTGTTGTTGAAGGAGAGGAGAGGAAAGTCACGCTGGGGGGAGATATCATAACATAACATGGTAAGGCACATTTTTCACGGTGAACGGGGATCATAACAAGAGCGTTTGCAAGACGCGCGCGTTTCCATGGTGAAGGGAGATGGGACGGTGCGGGGGAGGAGCGGAAAGTCGAAGTGAGCGTGGAAGAGACGGTGTAATTTAAACGTGCAAAGTGCGAAGTGCAATGTAGATGTATGCTCCTCACCTCGCTGAGGAGTGGTACGCTGGATGGTATGACGGGATTTGTAGACGCCAGGCCGGGATATGATTTTCAACATGACAGAGCCTCGTGTTGTTGTAAGCTTCTGAATCAGGCCTGGTGATGTCGTAGATTCAAAGTGAAGTCGATGTAGTACTCAATAACCATCATGTTGAGAAGTGACCTACAAGGTATACACAACATATATGAAACGATATGAACAAAGTCCATCCGTCGTCGCATCCACGTGCAACGAGAACATTCCTACTTCGTTTCTCAAATCTACATCACATCACCCAAACCGACAAGTACACCAGATTAGAAATTCGACAAATTCGTATATACTCAATGCAGTATCTCTACCCACATTCCGCTCAGTGAACATGGCCATAGAAGCAGTCCATCCACCATCCCAAACACATACACATGCTAAACCATCTTGCTTACACATCGATCAAGTTGTCGTCCTGCTGGCCCTCGCCCGAGTTGTCCTTGGTATCCTTGCTGCCCTTCTTCTTGTCACCGTCGTCACCACCCCGACTCCTCTGGTAGTATTGGTCGAGCACCTTGGCTGGGATACGGTTGAGGAGTTCCTTGGGGTAGATACGGAGCAGCGACCATGCGAGGTCGAGAGATTCGTGGATAGAGCGCGACTCGTAGGCACCCTGGGCGATGAAGGAGCGCTCGAACTTCTCGAGGAACTCAAGCGATAGCTTGTCTTCTGAGGACAGGGCCTCCTCTCCGACGACTGCCTTCATGGCAGCGGCGTCACGACCAATGGCGTACTTGGCGTACAGCTGGTTGGAGACATCACCGTGGTCCTTCCGTGTGCGGCCCTCACCGATGGCAGACTTCATGAGACGGGAGAGGGATGGCAGGACGTTGATCGGAGGGTAGATACCCTTGTTGTCGAGTTGACGGTCAATGAAGATCTGGCCCTCGGTAATGTAACCGGTCAAATCGGGGATGGGATGTGTGATATCTGGCGCAATTAGCTTAGCACGGAGTAACATAGTCGCAGTACATACCGTCGTTAGGCATAGTCAGAATGGGAATCTGAGTGATAGATCCGTTACGGCCCTCAACACGTCCAGCACGCTCGTAGATAGTCGACAAATCCGTGTACATGTAACCGGGGTAACCACGACGACCGGGCACTTCTTCTCGGGCAGCGGAGACCTCACGTAGCGCATCGCAGTAGGATGACAAGTCCGTGAGAATGACGAGGACGTGCTTCTCGAGCTGGTAGGCGTAGTATTCGGCGGTTGTAAGGGCAAGACGGGGAGTAATGATACGCTCGATGCTAGGCTGGGTTAGCTAGGATAGCAGTAGCGCATGCATGTTCTACTTACGTAGGGTCGTTTGCCAAGTTGAGGAACAGAGTGACACGCTCCATACTGCCGTTCTCCTCGAAGTCGCGCGTGAAGAAGCGACTGGTCTCCAAGTTGACACCCATAGCACCGAAGACAATGGAGAAGTTGTCGTCGTGGTCGTCGTGTACACCCTTGGAGGGCTTTCCGACAAGACCAGCCTGTCTGCAAATCTGCGCGGCGATTTCGTTGTGAGGGAGACCGGATGAGGAGAAGATGGGAATCTTCTGTCCACGGGCGATCGAGTTCATCGTGTCGATGGCGGAGATACCGGTGGAGATCATTTCTTCGGGGTAGACCTATGCAGTGTCAGTCCCATAAACGAGAGGTGTCAAAATAGGTACGTACTCGCGAGTACGGGTTGATGGGGCTACCGTTGATATCAAGGTAGTCCTCGGCGAGCACCTTGGGGCCTTTGTCGATAGGCTTTCCTGAACCATCGAAGATACGGCCCAACATGTCCTCGGACACACCGAGCTTCAAGCTGTGCCCGGTGAACTCGACTTTGGTCTGCGACTGTTAGATATAGTTCTCTTGCAGAGGACTGGGTGTAAGTACCTTCTTGACATCGATACCAGATGTGCCTTCGAAGACCTGCGTCGCAATTAGATCGAGTTGCCGGGAGAGTTGAGCATGTCGCAATTTACCTGGACGACGGCGCGGTTGCCTACAGCTTGTGTCAGTGTTTCGGCGCACTATCAGGGTCGGAGTAGCTTACCTCGAGCTTCAAGGACCTGACCAGAGCGCTCGGTGCCATCGGGCAGAGTCAAGGACACAATCTCGTTGTATCGCGGGAATTTGACCTATCCACCACATGTATAAGCTTCTTGTCACTCCGTCTCATGGGTCCAAGCTACGCACATTGTCGAGGATGACCAATGGACCGTTGACGCCTCCAATAGTGTTGTATCGTATCCTAGGCGTCACCGAGATCATGCGGGGGTCGACAACTTCAGGCATCGTGGCGGTATTGGGCGGTTCGGAGAGGTGTAGTATTGCTCGGCGTTAGATCGAGGGCCGCGGTCGGTCTGTAGCCTCGGAGATCGTTGGGTGACGAAGTTAGAGGTCGGCCGTCCAAGTGGGTTGGGGAAGCTCTGACCAGGATGCTTTAGCGTCTATGCGACAGATGACGCTGGCTGGAGGCTCGGCCTTGGCGCCTCACCATCGCGACAGACGGCCTCGATTTCGCATGAATTGAACATGAGTTGTAGTCTGGGCTTGTTTTCATACTGCGCGACGGGACAAGTCTTCATGTCAGATCAAGTACTAAGAAGACAGAATCCTGGGGTTAGGCGGAGCTCAGCAGCTATAAACAGAGTGCAAGAGATTCACGGAAGAACATAGAAATGTAATTTTCGGAACTCATGGTATTCATTTGCTATATATTGTGTCACACTATCTAGACCCAGACATGCCACCATTTCCATCGTGGTCGCCGACCAAGGATCTTTTGGGGTGCTTATTATCACAGCGTAAAGGACATTATGTATCTGTTTGAACTTGTCAGTATTTGCAAAGCGAAAATCTCAGCAATGACAGGACAGAGTATATGAGGGGTCAGACATCCAAGGAAGGTATTCGCGCTCATTGTCCATCGGTCTTAGGTTCGATTGATGGCTAGCGTGGAAACTGCGAATGTGGAAATGTTTCATCATCCCCAAGGGAGGAAGAGTGTGAGGAAAAGAGCGACTGACCTTTGATCATACTAGGCACGCCATGTAGCTGGTGTTAGCAGTCAAGCAACGCGCGTACGTGTGCATGCCCATGGCGTTGCGCAGCAAGACTGTTTGAGTCTGCATTACGCGCACGTGTAGCAGTGCAGTCCTCACAGGACTAGTGTAGTGTTGTGAGGATCTCGATCTATTGCGAGTGCGCACGGGGCGACAAAGTGCAAAAAGGTGCGCGGCGATGAGAGTAAGCGAGTCTTACTGTACTGAGCGATGTTAGCAATCTGACGTGCAAAAATTGCTAAAAGGGTCGCGATAGTGATGGAGGTCAGACGACAGTACTGGCAAGTAGCAGGCGCCCGGCGAAGGGCACCCGAACAGCGCTGTTTTCTTCAAGGTCGAATCGGTAAGGAAAAGAAGTTGCTGAAGGTATAATCTTTCCACAAAAGCAAAGAAAAAAGGAGTCGACTTACGTTATAGAGCGGGCTGGCTTCGGGCCTTTGCGAAATCGCATGAAGCGGTCCGAAGCCAGTGGTTGTTCGCAGTCTTCAAGACATGCAGAGTGAGGTGGTTGTCGAGAGAAAACCAGAGACGCGGTCGAAGAAAAGTAGAGCGCCGAGCTAGCGCGCCGCCAAGATTTCTCTCATCACGTGCACACCCGAACGGGCAAGGGCATTATTTGGAATCGTCATCCGGCCAGCAAGCATCAGCAAGGCAGGTCAGCGTGGTCGCAAGAGACTGCAGTGAGCGCCCGCCCGAGTGCAGCATAATTCATCACCCGTCGAGCGCGTTGTCCTTCTGCTGCGCGGTGCATATTGAGCGTGAGTTGGAGTCGGGATAGATTGGGCAGCCCAGCCACGCAGCTTTTCGCGCGATACCGAAACGGCCCCCTAACCTGCGCTGATCTTCGGAGAGGGCCATGCGCCCATCACCTCTCACCACACGAGAACTCCACCACTGACGCCCGCGTCCCTGGCACCGTCCCTGGCCCTGGATCTATACTCGCACCGGTCCCATCGTCGCATAGCACGGCATCTCTAGACACGTTCGCCGCACTGCCTCTGCTGCCCCCCAGACGGCCCATCTCACGTTCCCACTCCACCGCTCTGCTGGCGGGACGGATGCGACACGATATCACCCGACACGACACCGCGCCAGACGTGGCTGCACACCTCACCACCCCCTCGCCGCTCCTGTGAGTATCGCGCTGCACTTTGCGCGACGTCCTCCGTGACCCTCGCCCTTTTTCCTGTAACCGGCAAGTGCCGCCTGCCGGCCTCATCGCGCCCATCGCGACTTCTGCGCGGGCACTTCCTCAGCCTCCCATATCGGCCACACCGGACCGCACTTCGACTTTCCATCGCGACCACCCAGCACTCTTCAGTTCCCATTGGCATCGACGCGAATTTCCGCGCACGCATGACTTGGACGCTGTAGCATTGCTCCGCCTGTCTCGTCGCCGACTCGGTCGTTCTTCGCATCACGCGGACCCGTCTTCTAATCTCGACACCTGTCGCATCCCTTCTACCTGATCCATTCCCGCGTCCGCGAGGCCACAGCCCGCACTGAAGAGCCGGCAAGATGATGACAACGAGCTATCCACACAATGGGGGCATGCAACCCCAGGGCATGCAGCACGCGCACCCAGGCATGGGCGGCCCAGGCCCACACCCAGGACAGCCTGGAATGCAGCCCGGCATGCAGCACGTTTCCGGTCCCAATGGCCCCGTCAGTCAGGCAGGGCCCATGATGGGCATGCAGCCGGGCATGGGTGCCAATGCGCATGCCCTCTCCCACCTACAGCCGCAGCAGCACATGTTCCAGCAGCAACAGCAGCACCAGATGAGTGAGTACCGCCGCTCCGTTGCATGGCAAAGCATTGGCTAACAGAATCGATAGTGAACCCTGCAATGATGCAACAGCAGAGAACTGCCCAACAGGCCTTCATGCACCGTCAGCAACAACAGGCCATGCTTGCCCACCAGCAGGGCGGCATGGGAATGGGGTTCCAGAACCCCATGGCAAACTTGAACCAGGCACAAGCACAGCAGCTACAAGCAATGAGAAATGGACAAATGGGGCAAGGACCGTTCGTCAATCTTCCTCCCCACTTGCTCCAGCAACAGCAGCAGATGGGCCAGCAACCCGGAGGCCCGCAGCACCAGGCTGCCATGGCCCAAGCAGCCCATCAACAAGCTCAACAGCATCAGCAAATGCAGGCGCAGCAACAAGCGATTGCGATGCAACATGCGCAGTCTCAGTCGAGCAACCACAGCCAGGCAGGGAATCAGGGACCGCCGCCAACCACCCAGCCCCAGCAAGGGCCTCTTCGCCCTCCATCCGCGATAGGGAGTCACCAGGGACAATCTTCGCCAGCTCCTCAACCTACACCCCAACAGCAACCACAACCACCGCCCCCGTCACAGCAACAACAACAGCAACAGGCACACCAACAGCAGCAGCAACAACAGGCTCAACAACAACAGCAGCAGCAGGCGCAACAGCAGGCTCAACAACAAGCACAGCAACAGGCACAGCAGCAGGCGCAACAACAGGCACAACAACAGCAGCAACAGCAACAGTCATCCCAGCCACCACAATCAGGTCCAGTGCCACAACAGCAGACGCCAGCTCCGTCTCAGCCGCCAAATCTACCTCAACAAGCGAACCAGCAGGCCCAGAACCAAGGTCAGGTACAACGGAATCCGGCACTAGTACAGCAAGCGCAGGCACAGGCGCAAGCGAACGCTGCCCAAAATCAAGCCCGTCAAATGGCCATGATGCAGCAGAAACAAGCACAGAGCGTATCCTCAGGCCAAGGGACGCTTAAGCTGTTGAACTTTGTGGAGCAAATAGGGAACTTCAATGCCTCGAACAACAACATTGAGTGGTGGCAGGCCTTCGTGGATAGGTTCTTCGCCGAGTCTGGGTCTTTCGTCCACGTCGTCTGCTCCTCAAGTACAGAGAGAACGAAGCAGTTCGAGATCGTGTATGCTGCTTTGCCGCGGTACTTCTACACCCTCTTTAACACCGACGTCACCAACTTGCAAATTACTCTAGACGGGGCGGCCGAGAAGACCTCAAATGGTGAGCTCAAAGTGACTTGCGAGCGAGCGAAGTTCATATACACATACAAGAACTCCTGTCAGGTCGTTTACCAAGGCAAGTTGACTGCATTCTGGTCTGGTTCAGACAAGATGGAGTGGTTGGTGTTCGAGGGAGCGAGCCATGAGCAATTCATACCGCTCAATGCGCTGAAGCAAATGTTTGTCCAACCGTCACCGAACCAACTAAACCCCAACCAATCGCCACGCATGAAGAACAAGAAGCAAGCACAGCAGCAACGAACCATGCCAGAACCACCAGAGGCGTATCTGCCTATCAACAAGTTGATCAGCGCTAGCACTACAGACTATGGTTTGCCGCACGGCTTGCAAAGCTATCTCGAGGTAAGAATCTTCTCCACTTTTCCCTCCTCGGCATTGACACTGACATCAGTTTCTAGATCTACGAGCCAATGAACCACATGTCAAGCTTAATGGTGCACTACCTCGAAAATCCCCATATGAAGCCAAGCGAAGCGTTGGAGTCATGGAACAACAATATGTCGAATAGCCAGGGCGCTCTGCAAGGCCCGCAACACCCGAATCAAGGGCCACAGCAAGGACAAGGCATGCCACCCAACATGCAACCCGGGCCTCGACCAGGAGGGCCTGGCCAACCCGGTCAGATGTTCATGTCGCCCGCCATGCAGAATTCCCTGCTTCCCAACGGATCCATGGGGGGTTCACCTCACTTCCAGCACACACCGTCACCCAACTCGCAGCCCATGATGAAACAGCAGAGCACAAGCTCGCACACCATGAGCTCGAACACGTCTCCCAACATGATGAACAACAAGCGGCGGCGGAGTACAGCCAAAATGGAAAACGACGACGGTGGCGGAGAGATGAACGGCGCGCCCAAGGTCAAGCAAAGCCCAAGAGTCGGGGGTAACAAGAGGATGAAGGCAGGCCAATAGCCTCCATCGCTTGTCCACCTGCCTTCCCTCCTTGCCGGTGCCTCTATGCGATGCCTCGTTCCGCTTTCTTCGCATCTCTATCTCTTGTATAGCGCGGCGTTTGAATCTCTCATACTACTCTCAGTCTCGATTCTCATATCGTGCTCTTGTTCTTTCACAAGTCTTTCTCCCTTGGCGTTAGATCTCCACACTATTACCCCATTTCAACTCGGGTGGATCTTTCCTGCTTTGCTTTTGCTTTTGCTTTGCTTCTGAGACTTTTGCTGGCGTCTGGGGGGGGGGCGTAATCTTTGCTGTTGTTGTTACTACTGCTTGGTTATCACATTGTATCTCCTGTTCCATTTCTACCTACCCCTCTGTAGGTTACATAATTCGTTCTTGTACATTATCGACGATGAGGTGGAAGTAAAGGCTGTATAGAACGCAGCTTCAAGAAGGAAAGAAAGAAGTGGTCTTGTTAGGGGCCCTTTTTTGGTGGCTTTTTTTTGGTCTTTGTTTGGAAAGATGGGGGCCTAGTCAGACGATTTGTACGGCCCCGTTCAGTGCATAGGCGAGATATGTTGATGTTGAGATTCATTTTTATACGGAATTCAAGACGTTATGACTTCACCTTTGACCCTGGCCCTGAACAGACTATGCAAGGTTGTTTGCAGTTTACTGGTTTTTGTAGACATGACTGAGACGCGTTCATCGAAGGCGTGCACTCCTCGTATACATTCTGCCCATGTCAGACTACTTCAGTGCCTGCCTATCGACCTATTTGGGGTTTCCGGCGGGTTGATAAACCGTATACGGTTCCGGCGGTCGAGAACAGCAGTCCTCCTCGGGAGACCGACCTCGATATTCTTCGAGACATTTCCGAATGTCCGCCGCTGTGGGTCTCCCACTGGGCTCTCGACAAAGCATACGTATGACCAGTAGTATGATTGGTTTATGCACCAAGTCGGACGACACCCTGAACAGCTTTGTGCGTATCCACTCTGTCACTGATTCCAGGTTCGCATGGAACGATTCGTCGTGCTCATCACCTTGTCGGGCATCAGCTAGACCCTGAAGATCCAGACAGCCCATGACACAGAGGATTTCGAGAAAGACACAGCCGAGAGAGAAGATATCGGAAGGTCGGCCTCGTGGTGTTTCATCATATACTTCGGGTGAACAGTAGCGGGGTGAACGTGCAGTTGGTCCATCGGTTTGACTGTGATCTTGTGACGCAAAAGAACGTGACAGTCCGAAATCAGCAAGATAGAGTTGCCACTCGGGCTGTTGATCGGATTTCACCTGTCTGACGAGTATGTTTTGGGGCTTTATATCCATGTGTTTCGTTGTTTTCTGATGAATATAACCCACAGCTGAAGCAAGGCATCCTAGCGCTATACCGAGGAATCGTCTGTGCGCGTCGGATTCCGTAAGGCTCAGGTCATTGGCATCTTCTAGAAACCTAGCAAGGTGCATGTCCGCGACCGGGTACATCAAGATGGAGAAGTTGCGACGTTCAAGATACGTGCCGACCAGCTGAACGATGTGAAAATGTCGTAGCCTCTGCAGATGTCGGACCTCACCCATAGCATCTGAAACCTTCCATTTTCGACTGCATCTCATAGTCTTGCGTGCAAGTTGTATCCGACGGCAGAGCACCCGTTCTACAATCGCGGTATTGGACGATCCGAGATGCGATATGAAGGACAATGGGACAACTTCATGGGGCGCAAATGTAACGTGCTGACCCTTTCCAGACCAATTCAGCTCTCGATCAAAAGGTTGTATTATCTCCTGTTGGCGAAGTGTCGTGTAGTAATCTGTATGGATCTCCACTAGCGGCACAGATAGTTCGGGATTCGGCGGTTCGTCCTCGCGAACTGTTTCGACCCTAGCGGCCAATGAATAGAAAGTGGAATTGCTGTACTTCGACGACGTACTCCCAAGAGAAAATCTGCTACGGGCTGTGATGAAGCTTTTCTTAGAGCTGACGATGGACGCTGGTCGGCCAGACTGTACTTGATGTACAGCATTCGAAACTTGACTGGTGTCGAGTTGTGGTAATGAGGATGTTGAAGTAGACGCGGATTTCACATGTACATCTACGATTCCCAGGTCCCGTAACTTTCCAAGGGGACGCTCTAATTGCGCGTCAATATAGCCTGTTATGAATAGCCAACGTAGCAGGTCCGCTGAACGCCACGACGAGGCTCTTATCGTGCAACTGATGGTAGTCTTTTTGCATGATCTCACGCCACGGGGGATTCGGGTCTTCCCAGGTACTGGGGGCTTCGACCCAGTAATGTCGGTCCATATAAAGTTGACTCGCCTGCTAGGCCGAATGGTTTGTCCAGTGATATTCTTGACGTAGTATTGATATCCATAGGAAGGTATTTGTAGTGCGACGAACGTTGAGGTTCCTGCAGGATCGTCGTCGGTGGCATTCGTCGATGGGGCGAGTGGCTTTGCGTCTTCGTCGTCTTCAAATGGTCGGTTCATCATAACATGCTTCTCGAGCATGGCGTGCATCGCACGTTCCGAAGACGTGGAACTCACTTCAGCGCGTTCAGTGGTCATTGTCAAAGTCCAGTGTGACAAGGCTACGCCTTGCTTGATGGATGGCAAGCCCAGAATGCCTAGCTGAAGAGTGTTGAGAGGCTTGCACCTATACCACAGGAGTCAGGCTGAGAAGAGGAAGGGTGTTGAGCGTTCCGTTCCGTTGTGTCAGGAAACTCAGGTTCGATGGTAAAGCAGTCAAGACGCGGCAGGAGCTGAAGCTGAGATGACCAGCTCAGACACAGCCTCCATGCACCTTCCTGCAGCTCCAGAAGGCAACAGCTAAGCGGACCAATGACCTAAACAACGTCAGCATCATATCGGAGGAATCGCAAATCCTTCGCTAATAAATGAAAAGGGACTGGACTGCTCAAGAAGGATAAATTGTGGAGAAGATGACAACATGGAACAAAACACATGCAAAGAGGCAGAAGCAGCGGTGCGCAATGCCGCCAGTAAAATTTCGATGATATACAACCAGTATTTGTACAAATCATACCGCCCTACTACGTGCGCGGCTGACTCTCATCATCCTTCCTACTCTCATTAACCAGCGCGCCCCAAGCATCACCTCCAGCACTCCTCTCCTGCTCCGCAGCCTGATAAATCTCACTCAGACCACCAGCACCACCAGTCGCGCGCAGACCTCCATTGCTGTACAGCTCCAAAATCGACTCCACATAATCCTCCTCACCACCAGCAAGCCTATGCTTGATAGCGAGATCCGCCTTCAGCAGCGCGGTTTCGAGGTATGCCCTTCGTTCGGGATCCATGTCCTCGTTGGTAGACGCAGTCTCCGCCTCCGCGATAAGAGCAGCATTGTAGGCTTTCTTGTTGGCGTTGTAGGCTTCGATGCCACCTGCTTCTGCTACCTTCGCGTCGTGTGCGGCGCTCTTGATCTTGCTCCAGGCCTCGATGCCGCCGGCTTCATCGATCTCCTTGCGTCTCCGCTGGTTGAAGGTGATTCTCCGGGCGGCATTGTCACTGATGTCTGGGAGGTTGAACTTCGACCTAGTTTCGTCTAGGTCTTGCTGTGTGATGCCTGCTTCGCTCACTAGCTGTTTCTTTCTGAGTCTCTCTGCTTCGCGCTCTTTGGCTCGGATAAAGGCTAGTTTGAGGCCCTCTTCTATGCTGTCAACGGCGTCGCGGGATACGTAACGCTCTGCGGCCTTGACTGCTTTGGTGTACTCGAGAGCGGCATCGGCTCGCACTTTGTACGCTCTTGGGCCTTTTTTCTTTGGGTCGGCTATGTCTTTGACTTCCTCTCCGGACCACATCTCTTGGTCCTCCGTCTCCGTGAACTCTAGGCTCTCGAGTGCGCCGTCGGGCATGTTTTCGGAGAGCGTACCGTGGGCAGCTTTGTTCTCGGCGATCATCTGGGGTGTGGGCCATTGCTTGTCGATTGTGGCCTGGTCTATGCCAAGAGCCGCAGCTTCTGCCCGTAACCGATCGATGACTTCCGGCTTCTGCATCAATGTCCATCGTAGCGCCCATCCCATAGGTCCGAGCTCTTTGATGCGTGCTACATTGTCCTTGAGCAGGTACTCATCCAGCCCGCCCTCACGGTCCATGGTCTTGAGAACCTTGGCGGTGATGCGCAGCTTTATCTTCTTCTTCAGTGCGACCGAGTATAGGCTTTTGGAGAGCACATTGGGCTTCCAGTTGCGCCGTGTCTTCGTTTCGGTGTCTTTGGAGACATTGTTGCCAAAGCGTATCATCTGGTCGCCGTATAGACCCTTGTTGGCCTGCTTGAACAGCTGATGGGCGCCATAGGGGTATGGGGGGATGTATGCATCTTTCGGGATGATGTTCATGGGAAGATGGGAGCCGAGATCACCGCCGCGTCGTCGCTGTAGTGGGTTCTTCACTGCGGGCGTGGGCGCCGTCGTCGCGTACGTTCGGCAGGTTGACTGGGCCGGGCGAAGGGCCAATCCCTGGGCTGCGGTGCGCCCAGATATTAATTGAGTTCGGGCGTGCATTGTAAGAGAGGTTCGAGACAGCGGTGGTGCCGTCGTGATGGAGTGGGCGCTGTGCTCGGTAGTCCGCAAATTCGAGATGCTGCCAGCACGGACCCTCAGCCTGACGTCTAGCTCTACAATTGCGGGCGGGAGTGCCATGGAACTTCATGACTCTCCCAATCGCCTGAATTCTTTCCCATAAATCACTCATACCCGAAATTCTTCTGTTGTAAAATTACTGTTCTTCATACATTGTATCCCACGTCCAACCGCGCACATGGCAGACACTCCCCAGCAACCCTCCACTGCAAACATCGCAGCCGCATGCGCCATACTCGCTGGTGTAACAGGCTACATGATCGGACAAGCAAAGTCACTTGGTTTCCTCGGAGGCAGCCCAATCTCTCAACCAAAGAAATCCGAGAAGAAAGAAAAGGCAGAAGACTCAGAAGATTCAGAGGACGAGTCGAGCGATGAAGACGACGACAGCGCGCCTGCAGAGTTCCCAGGTCACAACGAGGAGTGCAAGATGGTATTGGTAGTACGAACAGATCTCGGCATGACCAAAGGTATTGCGATTCTTGACACATTTCTATTATCTACAAAATGTCTAACCATATGACAGGCAAGATTGGCGCACAATGCGGACACGCGACATTAGCCTGCTACAAGCACTTCCTCCGACACGCACCGGAATCGACGTTGCTAAAGCGCTGGGAGCGAATGGGACAAGCCAAGGTGGCATTACAAGTCAAGAGCGAAGAAGAGTTAGAGTTGTTGCAGGCGCAGGCACTGAGCCTAGGATTGGTGGCACACATTATCCACGATGCGGGACGGACACAAATCGCGAGTGGAAGTGCGACAGTACTGGGTATCGGTCCTGCACCCAAGGGCGTCATAGATCAGGTTACTGGGCACCTCAAGTTGCTGTAAAGGGGCCTTGGGTATGGCGCTGTGTGCGACCCTGTCGACCAACGCAGTGGAATCAACTGAAAGGGCAAGGTGACGCCACGTCTCGAACATGACTCGTATGCATACCCGAGAGCTCTGGAGCAACGGTCGTGAAGCTCGCATCCGGTCAGGAGCGTGTGGTGATGGGAATTCGAGACGAAATTGCATGATGCACAAAGGCAATTTGCAAGATTCGGGAATTTTCGCCGAACATGGCGGTGAAACGTACGCAGGACGGCTATGGCGGTTTAACTGTAACGCGTGTACGGGTGCGCTATTCACCGGAGGCGAGAACAAACGAAAATGTCGAGTGCGTCTTGCTGTTGAGCGACGCGTGTTGTCCAGGGACTCCTGCTGGCAGCCGCGGGACGGGCCCTGGCTGCCCAACAAATGCTAGCTGCCATGTGCGCATGATTGATGGAATTCCGCGCGCCTGGGAAAGATCTACAGGTCTCGTGATATCAAAATAATCATAGCTTCCGTGCAGCGCAGAGGAATGATGTGCATAGAGCTTGCGCAGTGTAACTGTTTACCATGTACGGGGAGGAGTCTGATGCATTAGTGGTTCGTGGAGCGTGTAACAAGGTATGACGTGCATACACTAGGCGGAAGCAATAATGGCGGTGGTCGATGAGGTTGCGATGTCGCCCGAGGTGAGCAAGTACAGAGATATAGTGCGCGTAAAACCTGCCCACACGTGGACACTGAGATGGGTGCGACATTTGTCTGTCCCAGACTGTGGTATCGAGCCGAGATATTGACTGGCTGTTTGAGAGTTACAGCACACCTAGGTAATACTGAGTGGAGCTCTGCATCAAAGAGGAAGCGGGTACAAGGATGCCTGTCATACCATTATTCTACTTATGCCAGAAATTGCAGCGCTTCATGCAGCAGCGGCACCTCTCCACCAGCTCGTGGCGCCTAAGACGAATACTATCACCATAGCGTCGCTCACAACTGTTTTATAGATGATGCTGTACCTGCCCACAGTCCTCACATAGCCCGAATACGGTGCTGGTAGGATGCCAGCGACTGTGCTGAGAATGCCGCTTCCCTGTAATTGGCCCTTTTCGATGAAATAGCGCGAGGATTGCAAGACTACCTCGAAGGTCGCGAAGAGATAAAAGAAGTGCGCAAAGTTCTGCGCTGGGGTTGATTGGCCGACCCAGTCATCCTCCAGCACATTATCGCGTGACATCTTGGATCCAGTAAATGGTGTTTGCAGGACAATGTAGACGGCGAGGCCAAACGAGAAAACAGAGTGTACTAAGCGCCAGATCCACGCCGAGGATTGCTCTGGCAGCGGCTCAGAGGCACCGGCACCACCCTGCATGGCCGAGAACATACTGGCAAGATCGGGTGGCATGCCGCCTGGTGGTGCGCCAGCTTGACCTGGGGCGCCGGGCATGCCAGGCATACCGCCAGCGCCTGCGCCCATCATCTGCTGGAGCATGGCCATCATGGGATCCTGCGACGCATCCGTGCCTGGGCCGGGGCCGAATGGGCCGGACTGTCCACCCTCGAAAGCGAATGGCGAGGGGAGACGAGGCTGCGATGCCGGCGCGTAGTGGTGTTGCGAAATATCCACCTCATCTGGATCTGGAGTAGCCGTTCCAGACCCAGCGGGTGTAAACTGGGACGGGGTGGAGGCGGGTTTGACTAGAATGCCATTAGCCGTGCATTCACGCTGTTGTAGGACGGAGCTAGGGGGACTATGTGGAGGCTAATGTATTCGAAAGGGAGGAGCCGTTACCTGGCACGTCTTTCTCGAGTTCGCTGAGCGGCTTTGGTGGGCCGCCCTGGAGAGCAGTAATCTGCTGGAGACGTGAGGCGCCGGATTTGGCAGCCAGCCGCTCTCTGCGCAGTCTGGCCTTGGTTTGGGCGGGCGACTCGCCGGGCAGCGCGCTAGTCGCGGAAGCGGGAGAATCAGCCATGGCAGCGGTGGGGTGATGTAGAGAGTTGAGCTGTCGCGGTAGTTATCAATCGTGATCGCAGCCCTCACTATTGTTTGGAGGGGCTGAGGTCATGGCTTGGCGCGAAACTAGCGGAAGGCGCGACGGAACGTCGGAATCTCCCCGCTAGCACTGGCACTATCTGCACCTCTTCACATGAACGGCGACATGCCGAGCGTCTCCTTGCCACTCCCGACGTTTGCTAACCTCTCACTCGATCGCAACACTATTGCGAAGTTTGCCATCCCGACAGCCTGGGTCACTATCGCCCGTCACACGCGCGGTACGGGCCGTGTGATGTCCATTTGCCGGTCATCTTTGACCGATTAGGCTGGCCAGCACTCCTGCTTCTGGTGGAGTCGCTTTAGCTGACGACTCTCTTACGAACATTGCAGCCCAAAGGATTCCGCGGATGCATGTTCTATGTCCACTCAACATACGAGGAAAGCTAATGCAGTATTCGCCTGCTGTACCACTAACATGCATGCCGCTTGCAGCTTCCGGGCCTCTGGCTTGACCCGAGGATCGGGCCCATGGGAGGAGATATGGAAGCGATCCTTGTAGACCTGCGGTTTTCTTGCATGTCGGTCCCCAGTTCCAGCCAGTACAGGATGGACTACTGTGCTTCGTAAGCCCCTTTTCGATACGCATCCTCGCCTCCTGCCAGCTATTACTCAAAGTTATCAGATTGATCCTGGGACCCATGATGGCCGCCGCATGGGAAATCTGTATCAAGCGATATTGTGATACGAATGCCCTGCCAGTGTCATTCACCATTCTTCTGGTGCTGGCGCCGTGCTATGTTTTCTCCACTGGGCGTTTCCGTCACTATAACCCCTATACACACCATGCGGACCATGGCCAGTTACTGCTCCTCACCCACATGTCACCGAATTCGTTAAATCGCTGTAGCGCTGCACCCGAATAGGTCATGAAGGATGGCCTTCAGCAAACTCGATGCCCAAACACATCCTAGAGATCTCCTGCATTCGATAACGAATCGAACTTGGCGGTAGTCGAGCGTGCCTGCCCAATTCTTTGAGATTGCAAAAGACCCACTTTAGCGGTTGCTCTTGCTGCTGTCGTAGCACAGCATCTATATCGCTCCTACCTAGACGACGAGGCGAGCGACAGCTCCTTCCACCGGGTTGTGCAACGGGTGTGACGCGCTCGATAAACACGTTCCCTACTCTTGAAAATTTATTTCTAGCTTTGGTTTCGTCCCAGCCCTTCTTCCCACGTCCCTCCTTCTTGTGACATTCACCTACCGACATGTATCCAAGAATGTTTGTTCCAAGCACCATGGCTGGGAGACAACCTTTCCGGTCGGGTTTCGCTCACGCAGCACGTCTACTATCGCATCACAGAACTCAATCGACCTTGGCCGCTCAGAAGCCCTACTGGGATCACATCCAACCATGGAAGGACGTCTCCGCAGAGGAATTCATCTCTTATAGATGGCAGGTACGTCAATACCAATCTCTTTGGATCCCCGTGATATATGTTTCGATACAGGACTGACTTTCTTAGCTTCGCAATACCGTCTCCGATAAGCACAAGCTCTATCAGTTTCTCAATATAGCTTTGCCCGACAAACTACTGCGCTCGCAGCATGATCAACTCCGGAAGATTCGTACGAAGAGCGACTTCATCGAGGATGCTGTGCGTAACTCATCAACTCGCACCACCCTGTACACATGTTGATGCTGACACGGATACAGATCGCTGCTATCAAGCTGGCACCCATGGCTATTCGCCTAACACCACACGTACTCTCGCTTGTTGATTGGCAAAACGCCGTAGATGATCCTATCCGGCGACAATTTCTCCCACTTAGAAGCGGCATCATCCCTGATCACAAGAACATGGAGCTGGACTCCTTGCACGAAGAAGCAGACAGTCCCGTCCCTGGGTTAGTCCACCGATATCCTGGAAGGGCTTTGTTCCTAGCCACATCAATCTGCCCTGTCTACTGTCGCTTCTGTACGCGCTCCTACGCAGTCGGAGGAAATACAGATACCGTATCCAAGAAACCACAAAAGCCCAGCCGCAAGCGATGGGAAGTCATTTTCGATCATATCGCCAACGATGAGTCGCTCGAAGACATTGTTGTTTCCG